CTTCATTTCTTATATCATTTCTCTTCCCGATTTTTCCTCTACCTCTTTTGCTGGATTTTCAAGGTCCTTTCTGAGCTCTTCCATGGCCTGAGACCAATTCCTATTTTTCTAGGAGGCTTTGGATGTAGGAGCTTTGACTTTGTTGTCTTCTTCTGAATGTGTGTTTTGATCTTCCTTGTCACCATAATAACATTCTATAGTCAGAGGTTTTTTCCATTGTTTGCTAGATGTACTTTACAGATGAGAAAACTGAAGCACAGGGATCTTAAGTGATTTGCCTATGGTCAAGCAGCTTAGAAATATTAGAGCTGGGGTTTGAACCCACATCTCCTTAGTCTAGGCTAAGTAGCACTTTCCATTAGAACACCCTGCCTCTCTAAATGAACTCGGAAGAGTTCAGGTTAAAGTAAGCCATGACCGTATGATTTAGAGCTGACAGGACCTTAGAAAAAAATCTGTCCACCCATCTCATCTATAAATAAGAAAACTGAGGCCTAGAGATACCAAATGACTTGCCTGAAGGCACATGGCTAATAAAGTAGCAGAACTAAGATGGAAACTCAATTCCTCTAACTTAAACACAGTGTTATTTTTTTCCCCAGTCACAGGACATTGCTTCTCAAGGTTTGGAAAGAAAGGGCTTTATGCATAAATTGAACAGGCAGCCACCAGGTGTGATTTCAGAGGAAAAGGGGAACTAGAAACTCACCTCTGCCTTCTCTATTTTCTTGCTGACAAAAGGAGAGCTTTGGTAAGACTACAAGTAGCTCTGGAGAGGGAACTTAAGAGACTCACATTTACAATGAGAACCATATATTTTATAGGTTTGTAGGACTTCACACCAAAAGGGACTTCAGATATCATCTGAGTCAAGGTTACACAGTGAATTCAGGGCAGAACACAGAGGCAGAGAGAATAGTTTAGAAGAAAGGTAGTGGGTCGCCTGAGAGCTGGGGAACTAGGGTCTGAGTCCTAGCTCTGACTTCCTTTTGCTGGGAAAACCCCAAGACTCTTGATCAAGAGGAAATGATTTTCTGAATTGTGTGTAGCCTTATGCAAATCATAACCTCTCTGGTTTTCTTCTTTGCTCAGAGAGAAGGTTGGTCAAGATGGCCTCTGTAGACTCTTCAAACCCTAGATCCTTTGATCCTACTGGCCAGAATTTGGACCTATTCTTTCCACTAGACTAAAATCTGATGCAGAATGTTGAATTTCAAAGAAATGCTTCACATTTTTTGCCAGTTGACATCCAGCCCAGATCATATAAGTAACAGGCCACAAAGAGTCACTAAGAAATGCCTGATGTCTCCCTTCCCCTCAGTATCTTCCTTTACCCAGCTATTCCAGGGCCTGAAATTCCCACCTTTTATCACACTTCAGGGTTTATGAGTTAGAGGCCTCTCTTAACATGTAGATGTTAGGGACAGACACAAAGCAATTCTGAACCATGAATATCTTTAGTGAATTGGTATATAAGGCAATCTGTTCCCCTTACAAGGCTCCAAGGGTAGGGAAGTTTGGATTGGACCTTAAAAATCATAGAATTTATAGTTGTAAATTTCCTTAGAAAGCAATTAGTATGACTTCATTTTACAGAAAAGGAAACTGAGGCCTAGAAAATGAAGTGATTTGACCAAGGTCATAGAATAGCTGAGCTAGAGTTTGAATCCATGTATTCTGACTCTAAATCCATTTTAGTGTAAAAAATATATCAGATAATTTTTTTTAACAATTTAATTCTTTAGTTTCTCCTCTCAAGGTTAATTTGAAGTAAATTATATTTTATAGATGGGACAAGAGAGACCACTTATTTCAACTCTCTCATTGTATTTAAGGAGAAACTGAGGGCAAGAGACATAAAGTGGCTAGTGTCCAGGAGGCAATGTTCAGTGAGGGGAGGCCAAGATGGAATTCCACACTGTGGGGTCAGAGCAACATAAGTCTCCAGCCACCTGGGATGTCAGAATCAGACTTCCTAATTTTCCTTCATATTGGTCCAGGCCTAAAGGCAGCTTCAGCTTGTAGGACCCAACTTTAGCTGGATACCTTGATCCATAAGGCTGCCCAGGCATTGCATGATTATGTACAGACCACCCTCTGCTGGTCAGAATGTGCAGTCACAGTGACAAAGCCACCTTAACAAACACTGATTAACTAAATATATAGGGAACTGAGAAAAATTTCTAAAAATAAGAGCCATTCTCCAATTGATAAATTGCCAAAGCATATGAACAGGTAGTTATTTTTCTTGCCTTTTTTTTTTTTTGCAACATGGCTAACATGGATATATGTTTCGAGGGACTTCACATATATAATTGTTATTATATTGCTTGTCTTCTCAAAGAGCGGGTGAGGAGATGGAGGGAAAGAATTGGGAACTCAAATTTTTAAAAAAAGGAGTGTTAAAGGGGCAGCTAGGTGGCCCAGTGGATAGGGCACTGGCACTGGAGTCAAGAAAACCTGAATTCAAATCTCAAACACATAATACTCACTAGCTGTGTGATTTTGGACAAGTCACTTAACCCTAATTGCCTCACCAAAAAAAAAAAAAAGAAAGAAAAGGAATGTAAAATTTAAAAAAAGGTATAATTAAAAAAAACTTCACCAATTAAAGGCCTATTTGTATTCTCTTGATACTCTCTTGATTAATAATATTAGCTCATGTTTTGACAGTGTTTTTTTTTCCTGGTCTTGTGACTTAATTTACCCAGGGGAACTTCCTCTACCAGTATAACTCAGTACCTTCACAATAAACTCCACTGGCTCCCTATTACCTCCAGAATTAAATATAAAATGATCTGTTTGGCACTCAAAGCCTTTCATCACCTAAGCCCTCTCCTACCTTTCCAGGCTTCTTAGACCTTGCCCCAGGATACATACTCTTCTGTCCGGTGACAATGTCCTCCTCTTCCTCATTTACTACTGACCTCCCTGACACCCTTTATGTCCCAGCTAATTTGTCCTCTTTTAAAGGAAGACTTCCCCAAATTTTGTTCATTCCAGTGCTGTCCTTTGATATCCTGTACATAGCTTACGTGGTATATATTGGTTTGCATGTCTTCTCCTCTGTTAGACTGTAAGCTCCTTGAGGGTGAGGACTGTCTTTTGCTTCTTTTTGTATCCCCAGTGCTTAGCACAGTGCCTGGCACATAATAGGCACTTAATAAATGTTGATCGATTGATTGATTGATCTCTGCAATTTTTATTTTGAAGAATTCCCAAGGATAATGAATGACTTGTCTAGGGACACATTGCTATTATGTGTCAGAGGCAGAACCTGAATCCAGGTCTTCCTGATTCCTGTACCAGCTTAACAGCACTTATTATTTGTTTCAAAACATGCACTCTGTGTTCTGCTGCTTTGGGTTACTTCTCTCTGTGTGAGTCTGTACCAGTGTTCCAAATTTTCTCTGAATTAGCATATTTGTCATTTCTTAAAGAACAACAATATTTCACTACAATCATATGTTTATCCATTCACTAGACTATTGATTCTTCCAATCAATAGACACCTACAGAACTTCTGGTTATTTACTGCTACTAAAAATGTTGCTATTAATATTTTTGAATAGAAGAAATCCTCTTCTTCACTTGATTGAGGGTTGTTGGACTAATGGAGCAGAATGAGACATATATATATATATATATATATATATATATATATATATATATATATATATACACACAGCTAAATTCTTGATTTATTTTTCTTTGCTGTATTTTTTTGTTACAAAAGAGAGTGGATATGTGGAGGGGAATCTTTGGGAAGTGATGTATTCTTGATTTCAGAGAAACTGGACTACTCACTGTTCCCCCATCCCGTGCTGCTCTGTCCTGGCTTCATGTTATTTGTATAGGCAATCTCCCATAGTTGCAGGGCAGCTGCTCCCCAGTTTCTACCTTTTGATATCTTTGCTTGTCTTCAACTGAATTATTGACATCAGCCTCCTAATTGGGATTCCTCTCTTCAGCGTCTCCCTTCTTCAATGTATACTCTGTATAGCTGCCACACTGATATTTCTAAAGCATAAGTCTGACCATGTCAGTGCCCTGCCTTCCCATTACCTATAGGATGAAATCCAAACACTTCTGTTGGACATTTAACGCCTTTAGCAGTCTGGCTCCCACCTTCTTCAACTGCCCTTCACATAGTCTATGTTTCTGCTAAACTGGATTACTTGCTATTCTCTGTATCTGACAGATCATCTCCCACCACTGTGTCTTTGCAGAGGAGGTCCACCATATTTGTAATGTTCTCTCTCCTCATATCCACCTTTTAGAATCCCTACTTTGCTCCCTGTAAGGTACTGCTTCCTACACCAGGCCTTTGTGGATTCCTCCCCACCACTGACTTTCTGACTGTCTGTCTATCTCCTACTAGGCCTATTCTTCAGCCTGAATTATATCTTCCACCTCCTTGGATCTGCACAGTCCAGGAATCCCCAGCAATGCTCTCTCTCTCTAGTTATTCCTCTCAGAATCCTTATCCTCTTTCAGGGCCCTGGTTAAAGTCACCTCTTCAGGTTGAAGAAAGCCTGTTGTCTGGCTTGAAGTATTCTGTTAGATGGAGAAACCTATAGGGCTGATCTGTCAGCATGTAGGTTTGTGGATTTGAATGGGATGGAGGCAGGAGCCTAGCTGGGAAGACTTTACCATGGGGAATTAAGAATCATAGATGGAACCCGAAACCTCTCATTGACCCTTGGACTTTCTGCTTTTGGAGAATATAGAGGTCAGAAAATTTTGGGAAGAATCAGAGGAGAATAGAGAGGTCAGTTTAAGCAACCCTAACTCTATTGCAAAGTTCCTTGAGTAATTGGAAAGACAACTCACCGTGCCAGCTCACTGGACCATCCACCCACCTGCAGGCCCTCCAGGACTTTGTAAGACAGAAAGAGATGGGGAAATATATATTTCTTCACATCCTTTGACTTCCCTAATCTTCCTGTTCTCCTCCTCTGCCTTTTCCCCATACTTCCTATCTTCCCCCAATACTTCCTTTTGGTCAACTCCAGGGCTTCATGAGGAAATTGAAAGAGGGGACTCCCAACCATGGGGACAAGAGGTGACCAATGACAAAAGAATGGGTGAAGCCACAGACCTCAGGGAACTGTTGGAACCCAACGGCTAGAGGAATCCTTGCCCTTGTGTAAGGCTGGGGAGGAGCCAGTGAATAAAGGATAGCTCCTTCCTGCCCACAGCATTGAGGGCCAAGAGGATGAGGATGCAGAAGGGCTGGACCATGCAGGTAGCCCTATTGGTGCTCAGCCTGATGACTCCACTTGTTTATGCACAGGACCAGAGGTACCAGGATTTGGTGAATGAATTCATTCAGGAGTACAACATGAAGTCCGGATCAGAAAACCTCTTTCGACTCTCAATCCTGAATCTGCCGTCTGGGGAAGTGAGTAGCATTGGGATGGCGGGGGAGGCCTCCACATGCCAAGATTCCCTAATATGAACCTTTCGCTACAGAAAACCTTGGTCTCCTTACTTGAAGAATTTGTGATATAGTGGAAAGAGAGGGACAGCTAGGTGGCAGAGTAGATAGAGCACTGGCCCTGAAAGTCAGGGAGATCTGGGTTCAAATGCACTCTCAGACACTTGTTAACTGTGTGACTGGCAAGTCATGTAACCTCTGTTTGCCTCAGTTTTCTTTACTGTGATGTGGGGATAATAATAGCATCTACTTCCTAGAGTTGTTATAAGGACGAAATGAGATAACAATTGTAAAATACATAGGACAGTGCCTGGCATACAGTAACACTTTATAAATGTTTGCTATTATTATTATTATTATTAGAGTCACAAGACCTGAGTTCTCATTCCAGTTTTGACACATTTTTTCTGACTCTGAGTTTTTTCTTCCCTCTCTGAGTTTTAGTTTTCTCATCTGTAAAATGAGGATAATAATCTATGCCAGCTCTGTCTTACAGTTTCCTTGTGAGGACTGCCCTGCCTTGAATTCCCTTCCCCTTCCCCCTGACTTTCCAGTCCTGCTCCCACCAGAGCAGAGCTCAAGCTCCCCATGAGTGACACCAGGATTTCTCTTTCTGTCTCCACATACCTTACAGCCCTGTACAAGATCATAGGCTGTCAAGTTGGAAGGGACCTTAGGTGCCACTGAGTTTAACCCCCTCAGTTTACAATGTAGGAAATCGTGGTCCAAGAAATGAAGGGTAAGTAGCAGCAAGTAACAGAAGTGGGAATGAGGGAATGAACAAATGAAAGAGTGAATGCATGAAAAAGTATTTCTGAATCCAGGGCTTTCCTTCTTTTAATGATTTCCTATTTATCCTACACATAGCTTGCTTTGTAAATGATGTTTCCCTCCCGTTAGATTGTCAGCTCGTTGAGGGCAGGGGCTGCCTTGTCCCTCTTTTTGGATCCCCAGTGCTTAGCGCAGTGCCTAGCACATAGTGGGTACTTAATAAATGCTGATTGATTGATTGAATCTCTTGCTATGTCACAGGAACAATCCTAAGCACTACAATGTAAATAAAATCCAGGTCTTCAGACTCCAAATCCAGGATTCTCCTCATTAGTGGAGCTTTTATGTGGCTCTGAACAGGTTTAAACAGAGTTTTTGTCTCCCAGTCAGTCTGAGGTGCCCCTTGAGTCCAGGGAATGTGGAAGCTGAGCACATGGCGACCCCAGAAGTCATTCAATAGACACTGGTCAGGTGAATGACTGTTCTGGATGCCCCCAGTTCTGATAGTGGTACCAGTGTGACCTTGGGCAAGTTATCTAACTTTCCTAGTTCTTAGTTTCCTCATCTAGAAATCGATGGGGTCAGACTACATGGTGTTTAAGGTCCCTTCCTGCACTAACTAGCTTGCTCCTGACCCCACAGGCCCTCAGGTGAGGCCTAGGTCTAAAGGTTGTGCTTCCTTCCTCCCCAGAACAATGATGCTGCTGCTCCTCGACTTCTGAGCTTCACCATGAGGGAGACCGTGTGCCCCAATACTGAAAATCGCAATCCAGATGAATGTGACTTCAAGGAAAATGGGGTGAGAGTGTCCTGGCTGGGGAGGGAGACTGACTGAATGAGTCTCTTTCTGGAGACGTTGCCACCTTGGAGCAGGGAGGGTGCTGAGCTCTGCTTCCTGCTGCCCTGAACAAAGTGAATCCCCCAAGATGAGCAGCAGAAAACCTTCCCAGGGGGCTGGCTTGGGGCAAAGCTTGAGCCTGTTGTCAGTCCTGGCATGTCAGGGGCAGAGGTTGCAGACTGGCAGTCCTGAACTCTCTCTGCAACCCTTCACAGGTGGTGAAAGAATGCCTTGGAGCCATTGCCCTGGATTCTCCTAAGCCCTCTGCTATTTCCTGTGATGGGGTAAGTGCTGAATCCTCAGTGGGGGCTGGGAGAAGAGCCTAAACCTGCAGAGTCCACTAGGGATCTATGGTGCCTTCTGTCTTGGGGGCTGCTGGGATTGATCTGCAGCTGGAGGGGCTTGGGACCGACTTTGACCATGCTGCTCTCTCCAACCTTAGCCTCAGCCTAGGCTCCCTTTTCTTCTTCTAGGTTCCAGGAGGGGCTGTAGATACAGAGGCAGGAGCATTTCTCTCCCCCATCCACCTCACCCAACCCCACTCCTGGAGCTAGAGAGGTCTCTGGCCTCAGAGTCCTAGGGCAAGAGAGAAGAAGAGAAGGATAATGGGAGAGGAAGGGCCTAGACCTGTGTTTTCAAAGAATCAATCCCAGGATTTTGAACTGGAGGGAACCCTAGATATTATATAGTCTAACTCGCTGTCCCTCAATTTACAGAGAAGGAAACTGAGGCTCAGAGATGTAAAATGGTGTTACCCAAAATGTCATAGAGCTAACAAATGCCTAAGCTGAAACAGGTCTTGTGACTCAGTCCAGCTATCCTGTTAGCACCAGGAGCTCAGTGATGAGATGGGGCAGGTGATCTAGGCTGGGCTGGGCTGGGGCCACAGCCAGTGTTCCTGCCAGCCACTCTAAAGAGGGGCTGTGAGTTCAGGTGTGGGCATGCCAGGGGCATAGTCAATGTGAACAAGTGCTCCTGGAGGGTAGAAGGTTTTAAGGGGTGTGGTAAGGACCTCTCATTGTCCTCTACATCTCCTGAGCACAAATAGAGGAGGAGGGTGTCCTGGGAAGACTTCTCATCATTTTCAAAATGAACATGAAGAAGCCCCTGAGACTTTAGCTTTGTGTGCTGGGAGGAGCACTGGGTTTAGAGTCACAAGGCTGAAGAGTTGGGCTTGAGGCCTGGGTCTGCCAGCTGCACCACTGTCTGTCTTAAGTTTCCTCCTTTCTAAGGGGCAGGTTGCCCCAGACACTGTGGAGGGCTCTCTGAGGTCTGAGTCTCATGAAACTCTAAGTTACTTTATTACCTGGTGGGCAGGTTTGTCTTCTCTCCTCAGCCTGACCCCCAGAGGTCCTGGACTAAGAATGTCTATTTGTCTTCCCTCTGCAGCCTGAAAAGATCAAGACAGTTGGAATTTTCAGAAATATTTGGAACACATTGAGGAGACTGGGTGACAGAATTAAGAACCGTATTAGGGATGGAATTACTAATGGAATTAACAAATTGCTCTTATAAGAAATGAGACTCTTTTGTGAGACTGAGCTTCGGTTTTAAGGTCTTCATCTCCTCAGATTAATAAACTCCAGTTTTATTCTCTCTGCCTCCATGTTTTCTTAGACTTCCTCTCCATTCAGCTCATTTCTGGCTGAACATTGAAGTACTTATCATGTACTTGTAGACTGCCCATAAAAAGATGAAAAAAAAACGCCATCCACAGTCTCTTCCCTTAAGGAGTTTATAATCTAGGAGGGGTGGGAGAGGGAGCTGACATGTAAGCACATAATGTATCATGTGGCTGTGTGATGGGAACAGGCTAGATAAAGTGGTCTAGGAAAAGAGAGAGAGAGATCACTTTCTGGTTAGGCCTCTGGGGGGCAATAGACCTGTGAAGGCTTCCTGGAAGAAGTAGCATCTGAGCTGGGCCTTGGAGGAAGAGAAGGCTTTCAGTAGGCAGACAGGACAAGGATACATTCCAGGCAGAGGGAATTCTCATCGGGCAGGTCAAGAGAAGGCTATGGAACAGCTATGGAACAGCTATGGAACTAGATTAAAAAATCTAGTCTGCCAGCAAAATATTTAGAACATTTAGGGGTGTGGTTTGTAAGGTGTTATAGCTAGGAAGGGGCCAACATGTTCTTAAATATCAGGCCTTCCTCAGGAGTTTGTAATTTATTCCCTAGATAGCAGGGTGTCCCTGAAGGCAGGGGAGTGACCAGATCATATCTTTTCATTAGGAAGATAATTTCATTAGGAAGCTCTGTCTAGGATGGAGTGGAGAAGGTAGCGATTAGACACAGGGGGACCAGTCAGGAGGCTATTGCAATAGGTGAAAGGTGATGAGGGTTTGCTCTAAGCTGGTGGTTATAAGAATGGAAAAGAGGGGTTGGATGGGAAAGGTAAAGTGGACAATCCAGGATGTAGAATTGACAAGATCTGGCAATGATCAATGATTCAGGCTCATGATGGAGAAAGCAGAGTGAAAGTTGACTCCATTACACTGGGAATGAGCAACCTACTTAGACCCAGGTCACTTTAGAGAACCCAATCCAGTGATTCTTGTGAGGAAGCCATCATTGTCTCTTTGAATAATACAGAATTTTACTAGCAAGAAGTGAAATCAGTCCCACTTCTTTCATCCCAATTCCCCCAAAGCAATATCACACTAGGACCCAGTGCCTCTCAGACTGTCAGGCCTCCACTGGCAGGCCAGGGTGCTAAACCCCTCACTTTCCCTAGAATTTATTCATTGACAGTGTTCTGACTGAGAGACTCCTTCTCCCTGCTTTAGACTTGAAAATGGGCACACGGTGAGCAGAACTCTCAAGTTTTCACACATTCCCTCACTCTCACCTCTATAGAGAGTGAAATCAAATGTCAGGGCATCTCTACATCTCTACCGCCTTTTCTTGAGCAGCATCAAGGGAATGAATGCCTGTGAATGTATGGCCAGTTGTAGGCTGGCAAAAGAGCCCAGACAGAGCTGTAACTAAAAGCGATTGGGGTTTTGTCTAGGGAATGGACTTCTAGAGGCATCCCTGTGGCAGTCTTCCGGCTTGGCCCCCCTCCCTCATATGGGTCCAGAATTTCATGAATGCTCCCAAGGGTCCCTCTGTTCTAGGACCCTTCTCCCTGGGCTTATACTCCCAGGGCACCCCTATCTACGAGCTTTCCACACCCCCACCCTATTGCCACATCCTCCTAGGAGCTGGTGGTCTGGCTACCATCATCTATTCTTTCACAGCATGGGGCACAATTGCACTTGGGATCAATTATCTTTCAATCTCAATTCCCCCCACCCCCAACTGAATTTGCCTTGGGCTTAATATTCCTACTTTTGATTAAATTCCTGCCACCTTTCTGAGGTATAGTGATTTTGTCTTTGAACTAGGTAGCACCCAGATTCTATCACACACATTCAAATGACTCAAAATGACACTCCCGTATCTTTGCTAAGAAAACCCAAATGGGGTCATGAAGAGTCACACATGACTATTGAACAACCACCACCATTCTAGCAGACTTACTTGCCTTTAGACTTTACCTAGCATATTGGCTGTACCTTTTGAGTCTCCTTAATATCATATTGTTTTTTATGGTTACCTGGATTGGTATCTTTTCCCTGTACTAGATCCTAAGCTCCCCCAGGGCTGTACTGTACCTCCCCCAAGCCTAGCAAAATGCTTTGAACACAGTAGGCACTTACTATGTTTGCTGAATTGAATTGCCTGCAGAGGGGTTCCACTTGAACCCTCATGTTTCTATTCCACAATACCTTGTTTTCCCTACATCATTTTTTGGTTTGACAATCAGGGCCCTCTACCCTCAGGTTTCAACTTGCCATCTCCAGCTTCATTTTCCACTGCTATACCCCAGACACAACAGGCTTCTTGGGGTCTCTCTTGAGGTACAAGCTGGAGAAGATAGGGATAAGATTGAAGAGGAGAGAATTGGAAACCAGCCCCTGAGAGCTAATAAGAATCGTAACAGTAATAAAATAATAATAATAGCATTTGTATAGCCATCTGAAGTTTACAAAGCATTTTACCAATGTCAATCATGTTGGGATGATCTCCAAAAAAATGAAAGGGTGAGAAAGAGGGATGCCCTAGGAGAAAGGGGAAGGTAGAGGAAGAACGGGGGAAATTATTTCATATATAAAAGGTCTGGATGGAAGAGCTTTTACAGCAGAGGAGAAAAGAGTGGGGGTGGGGTGGTTGGCAGATGACACTTGAACCTCACTGTCATTGGAATTGGTTCAAAGAGAGAATATATATACACACTCAATCGAGTACAGCAATCTCTCTTACCCAAGAGGATAAAGGGGAAGGGGAGAAGAGAAAGGGAGAAGGGGTGATAAAAGAGAGGATGTATTAAGGGAAGCAGTAGTCAGAAGCTTAACAGACTTTTGAGGAGGGATGGACTAAAAAGAAAAATGGAAAGATAAACAGAAGAAAACAGGATGAAGGGAAATACACAGTTATTAATCATAATTGTGAATGTGAATGGGATGAAGTCACCCATACAACAGAAGTGGATAGTGGAATGGAATATGAGTTATAGTTCTGAACTATTATTTTAAAATTCAAAAACCCTTAGAATTCAGAACATGAAAATAAATATAAAATGGAAAACAGTGAAATAATGTGACCCTAATGAGAAACTTCTTTTTAATAAATAATCCCACATAAGATGAAGTTTCACAAAATCTCATCTTTAACAAACAAAATATATTACACTACACATATCAAACACAAATTCGGCCGTTTCTTCCTTTCAGAGCATTAGACTGTCAAAGCTTCACACAATGCACATTTTATTTCTCCATGGCATCTAGGTTGGGTAGCAGTTAGTTAGAAGTAAGAAGTATTATAGAGAATCTGTAGCCACTAGAATGACCTCTGTTCTCATCTGCAGCAAATGACTTAGAGCTAAGCCAGTCATTTTTTCCTTATATACATAATTTCCATCATAAAAACTTAAGATCCTGTTATGCTCTCTGCTTTTATTGCAGTGTGTTTCATGAAGCTTTTGATTAGTTCAAACTTATTAAAAAATCTTGATTTTTAAAAGAACCTTTTTGATACTGCTGTATGATGGGTTTAATGTAACATTAATTTAAGCATAAAATGGCAACTACATTGTATGGTATAAACTAATTTAGAGCTATCGGAAAAATTTTCTTAATCTAACCAAATACAAGGCTGCAGCAATGATAGGGTAGTGAATACAAGGAAAAAATGAACAAGTAAATAAAATGATTTTTGATCAGTGGCCATTCATGATTTTGCTATCTGGCATATGGAAGAAATTATCTGATTTGAGTTTTAAATGTTGTGGTAAATCCAGTTGTCTCTTAGCTTCTTCAATATCATCTTGAAATAAGGGCATCCATTGAACTGAAGTTTTTCTCTGGCCTGATGCAGCCAGTGAAGGCTATACTAAGTATTTCCCCATGGAAGTGCTCTTTGAAGATATGCATAATGTGAGTTTCCACAGATTTTTAGTATTGTTGTAGCATGGGTTCCATCCTATGCTTAAAACTGTATTATGGACATCTCCATTTCCAACAGAGGCCCGACCACAGTAAATTCCAGTAGATAAATCATACGGAAGATTATCTACTACTTGCTCAGGAAAGTCAGCAGTGGGGATGCCAAGCTGCTTGGAGCGTGGTCCAAAAATCCTCATCACCTTACACCGGCAGAAGTAAGGCAGATGCTTGATCATGCCGCGAAGAGTCCCGAGGAGCCTCCGTCGAACTCAGGGTCGCCACTCTTCCGGGCCAGCCGGGAGTGGGGGGAGGGGGGGAAAGAGGAAGGGGAGGGAGGGAGGGAGGTCCCTACGGGCGATCAGGCAGCATTTACGTAGCCAGACAGAACCTCCACTCACCACTGACCCAACAAAAACCGCAATAGCTCACCCTTGAGGTGTTATTTTAAATTTGTTTGTAGGCAAATGTTGGGAGAGTTCATCTGGGCTGTTGCTTCTACTCTACCATCTTGCTGCCCCCCCCCCCATAGAGTGTAGTACTTATGCACTAGATGATATATACTATATAGTATGGTACTGAGAGTACTATGGAAAGTCCTCATCTACTTTGCTAAAACAAATTGCTTATGAAAAGTTATCAAGGACTCACCTGTTTCATCTGTAAAATGGGACAATAATCTCTTCTCTGCCTACTTGCAAAGGACCTCATAGATTATCTGCTCTAATCTATACCCTCATAGACATCCTCCTTTACAACATGGCTGACAAGCAGGCATCCAGCCTTCTTTGGAAGGCCTCCATTGATGGGGGACTCCTTACCTATAAGGTGACCAATGCTACTTTGAGATAGTTTCAATTTCCAGAAGGCTTGTCTTTCCATCTAGCCTAGATCTGCCTCTCTATAACTTCCCCTCATTGACCCTGGGAGCCAAGGAGAGCAAGTCCAATCCCTCTTCCCACCTGACAACCCTTCAGATAATTGAAGACAGGGATCCCATGCCCAGCAAGCTTTCCCTTCCTCAGTTCTTTCAGCTATTCCTCATTTGGCCTGGTCTCTACCTCCCTCACCATCTAGCTTATTCTCCTCTGAATTCATGGGAAGGATCAAGTGAGATCAGGTGAAGGCACTTCAGAAAGGACAAAGAAGATGATGTGACTTTGTTTTCAAAGGGCCAATGAAAACAAGGCTAAAACCAGGCTGGGTTGTGAAATGAAGTCTTTATTTACACAGAAAAGGAACAAAGGCTATCAGCATTTATCCAGCACCAATTATGTGTGTGCTAGTTCTTTACAGGTGGTATCTCCCTGGATCCTCACAACAACCCTGCTCATATTATCTCTATTTTACATTGGGGGAAACTGAGACAAACAGAGGATGAGTGACTTGTCCAGGACTGCGCAGTTAGGAAGTGTCTGAGGGCTTATTTGAGCTCAGGTCTTTGTCTCTTCAGGCCCAGTGCTACCTATTGTTTATTCTTGGAAGTAGATGAAGGCTTCTCTTTAAGAGCTTCAGAAACACCTTTTTTAATGGCTTTCTTCACAAGTTTTTTGAAGATCTTTCCCACTGTTTTGGAGACCCTTCTTTTGGCTTGGACAGGCTTCAGGATAAAGAATAGAGAAGTTTAGTATTTAGGGAATAGTGGTAATAACTCCCATTTCCCTAGTTTGACAAACCTAGTAAGATAATTAGTACAAATATTATTGTCCCTATTTCCCAGACGTGAAAACTGGCTCAGAGGAGGAAGTGACCTGTTTTGAGTCATGTAGCTAATAAGTACCTAAGTAGCACTTGAACCCAGGTCTTTTGACTCCCAGACCAGTGTTCTTTGTGATACATTCTCCTGCTTTTCTGTGGAAATTACTCTTTAGTGAGCCTATAATTGGAATTTAGGAATTTGCAGTATTGGAACCTCTAAGGATTCTGCCTTTCCTAGGATAGCGTGCTCTCTGTCTCTCTCATATTATTTTTTCTCAGTCATGTGTAAAATTTAACATTTGTTTTTTAAAATTTTAAAATTTTAAATTGTCTCCTTCCCTGTTCTACCCCCTCCTTGAAAAGACAAGAAATTTGATATAGATTATACACGTGAGGTCATGCAAAACTGATTTCTATATTAGCCATGTTGCAAAAGAAAACAGACCAAAAAAAAAACTGCCCAAGAAAAATAAAGTAAACAAAAGTATGTTTGCTGTGCATTCAGACTCCATCAGTTCTTTCTCTGGAGGTGACAGCATTTTCAACATAAATCCTTCAGAACTGTTTGAGTAATTGAATTGATGAGAATAGCTATGTCATTGACAATTGATCATCCTACAATATTGCTGTCACTGTGTACAATGGTCTCCTGGCTGTGTTCGCTTCTCATCAGTTCATATAAGTCTTCCCAAGTTTTTCTGAAACAATCTTGCTCATCATTCTTATATCATAATAGTCTTCCATTACATTCATATACCACAACTTGTTCAGCCATTCCCCAATTGATGGGCATCCCCTCAATTTCTAAATCTTTGCCACTACAAAAAGAGTTGTTTTAGGGACTAGGTATTACCCATTTCTAATGCACTTATATAATCGTGTGGTTTTGTCCTCCTTCCAAAGTGTAAGCTCCATGAGACCAGGGACTGTATCTAATCTACATTTTCTAACTCCCTGCCTTGCACTGCATTCTATATGCAGCAGGTGTTTAACAAATGTTTGTTGTACCAGGTTGTACTCTATACCTCAAGACACAGTTCCAATCTTACTTCTTCCCCAAACCTTCCAGCCCACACCTCAGTTTTCCTTCTTTGGACTCCTGTCTATTTCATCTGTAGCACTCATCCAGGCCTTCCCCTATCCTGGTTACTTACTACTTATGAGATTTGACGCAAGAAATTATTTGGTCCAACCCCCTCATTTGACAGATGAGGAAACTGGGGAACTAGAAAAAGTTAAATGACTTGCCCAAAGTAATCCAGACAATCAGTGGCAGAAGTGGGAATCAAAGCCAGGTCTTTGGGCTCTAAACCCAGTGTTCTTGTTACCAAACCACACTTGTTAATTGATTAATTCTAGCTAGTGGTCTGAGCATTTCCCAACTGACCCTTCCCTATTTGGCTTCTCTGTCTGATGCTCTAGGGCCAGGAATGGCATCAGGGACCACTTACCGTCTGACTTGCCAGGGGCACACACCTGACCCACACATTAGCTTCCTTCTCATCGATATCTGTGATTATTCCCTGACAATATTTCTCCTTCTACAGTTGGAGAGAGAGAGAGAGAGAGAGAGAGAGAGAGAGAGAGAGAGAGAGAGAGAGAGAGAGAGAGAGAGAAAGAGGTCTGTATGAGAGCTTTAGGTCTCAACCACATGGAAACAATAAGAAATACACAGTTCCCACATGCTCCACTCCCTTTTCCCATTCCTCCCCCAACCCCAGTCATAGGTCCCCAGCTCTGCTTTCTGCCATGCTTAGGGCACTAGGTTGAGTTAGTGTTGGAATGGACCTCGGAATTCATCTAGCCCAGTGGTGTCAGACTGAAACAGAAATGCGGACCACTAAGCCAAACATAAGGATCCTTATGAGCTACTGACCTACCTATAAAATGTAACTACCTAGTCTTCATTGTATTTTATTTATTTTGTTAAATGTTTCCAAGTTACATTTTAATCTGCTTCAGAACTTTCAAGGGTCTTATTACTATTACTGATATAACTGATTATATTAATAACACAATAAGAACCTATTTTATTTAATGCTAAAATAGAAGATGGGGAGAAGAGGAGAAATGAGTTGCAGAAGGGAAGAGGGGAGCGACAGAGACAGGAAGGGACAGAAGGAATCAGAATGAGATGGAGGGAAGGGAGGAAGGAGGAGGAGGGAGGGAGGGAGAAGGGTATGGAGTTTAGGTAGAGGGAGAGGGAGAGATGGGGGTTTGGAAGAAGGGCAGGGGGAGCAGACAAGGGGGCCTGAAAGGACGGAGGAGAAATGCAGCTCTTACCCCATTTTTTTTGAAGGCACATGTGACAGGGGTGATATTTTCTGCTGTCAGGCAGTCGGTCTCTTTGGCAGTGAAACTTACATGGTAGGGCTCTCGGGATGTGTTCTAGACACCAAGAGAACAACAATTCAAGGTGTTTGTAGCCTATCTTCAAGTCCTTTTCATCTTCACTACAGCACACTAGGGAGGGGGTAGGGATGCAGTCTGCTGTATTTAGAAGCTCAGTGAAGTGTAAAGTACAGGAGCAGGGTTCCAATCTCTGCTCTGTCACTTCATGTTTTTAAGACCTTCAGCAAGTCACAGAAATAGATTTAGAAGACTCCTCAGAGGTCATTTAAGCCAATCTGAAGAGAAACCCCTTCTGCAACCTCCCTGACCAGCGGTCACACTTAGCTTGAAGATTTCCAGTAGTGGGAAATTTTACTAACTAGTTTTTCCTCATTTCCTTTCTTTCTGTGTCTTAGTATCCTCATCTATAAATGGGAGGAGGGCATAATACATACAGTTCTCTCCTTCTGTAAATTTGGGTCCACTTGAGGCTGGCAAGGTGGAGCCCCTAGTGAGTGGTCCTCTGCTCCAGGCACTGAAGCTGCTCAGGTTGGAGGTATGTGTGTGTATTGGGGGAGGGGGTTGCCAGGCATTGAAGCCCCACCTGCTGGCCATCCTAAACTCCTGGGGATGCAGAAGTCTAGAGAGGAGGAGGGGGAGGAGCCCCACGGAGCTCCCCAGGACAGTGGCAGGTCTGTAGACCTAAAGGGCCACTTAGGGTAAGGGAGAGCTATCTGTAATCTCTACCAGCACTTAGCGTGGTGCCTGACATGTAGTAGACACATAGTAGTAAGTGTTTCTTGATTTGACCTGTTCGGGTTGTAATAGAAGGGAAGGTGTCTTAAAAAGTGAAAAGAACCTGCCCAAGAACATGTTACAAATCAGCGCTGGAGTAGGGACCAGAATCCGCCGTTAGGAATTATGCTAATACAGGCCACTGGAGTAGGGCCCATAGCCACCTTCCACTTTCATGATTTGCTACTTTCCCATCCTGAGATGGACAATCACTGAATTAAGCTGGATCCACGAGGCAGCTGGTGTACAGCAGAAAGGACACTAGGCCCTGACGCAAAAGTAAATCTTGGGTCTTCCACTAAACATCTGTATAGCCAGAGTCTTGGCCCCAGCTTTCTCATCTGTAAAAGGAAAGCCTCAGACTAGAAGATGTCTCAGGTTGCTTCTAGCTCCAGCCTCTGTGAATCACCAATTTGTAGGGAGCAGATCTGGGTTCAAATCTTGGTTGTGTTCATTACTACCTGCATGAGCACTGGTACACTGCCCATGTCTCAGGGGTGGATTAGGAGGGCAGATAAATGTCTTGTCAACAGTGAGACACTATAGAAGACAGTAGCAGTGATTCCTATTCCCAGGTCAGGGATTCTGCCTCCTGTCCTTTTCTTGTGCCCTGTTTGGTAGAGTACAATGGAATTGGCCACTGACTTTGGAATCAGAGGACCTGTGTTCAAATCCTACCTCTGACAGTTATCTGAGTGACACAAGGCATCACTTGAGCTCTCTGGGCCTCACTTTCCTTGTGTGTAAAATAAAGAGGATTAGCCTAGAGCAATAATTGTGTCTCACAGACCCCTTTGAGAGTCTGGGCAAGCCTATGGACTCTTTCTGAGAATAATAATTTTCAATGCATAAAATGAACTACTTAAGATTAGAAAGGAAATCAAAGGTCAGTGAACATATTTTTTTTTCTTGTTCAAATTCACAGATTGCCTGAAATCTATCCACATACCATCCTCTCCCCCAAGAATCTCTTTAAGGTCCTTTTTATGTCTAGACCTGTGATCCTGGATCTCTCTGCCAGAGCCCAGTCCCTAGCTCCTGTTCCCCTTTTTCTTCTTGTTTCTCCCAAGTACTCACCCAGTCAGGCGGGGGCTCAGCTGCTGTAAACCAGAAGGAATTCTTCTCGTCAGTCTCTTTGTTGAAATAGGTGACAGCCATTGTTAGGGCATCATAATAGGTCAGTCCTTTGATGTTAGCAGCTTTCACCTCAATCAGCCCCAGAAGGAACAGAGGAAGCCCAATTCTGAAGCCTGCCATTTTGCTTCTTTGGCCTAAAACCCTCCTTTCACTAGGGCCTTATTTATATCCCTCGAAAGTTCTGAGAGTGGGGGATGGGCCTGGGCCACTCCCAGGGATTAAGTAATGACTCTTCAAATAATTTCACTTGAGGAATCTCCTCTCTTTATAGATCCTGATAGGAAGGAGACCAAAGAGGAGATTCATCAATTACTGTACAATGTAGTCCACCTGTTTCCCTCCAAGCCAATTCAAGATGCTCGGGGCTGTCAGCAGTCCACAGGAGCAGATACCTACCTCCTAGAATGAGATGTAATTGTAAAGGTGGGTAGAATTGTCCCTCAGGAGTACAGATTTAAATCTGAAATAGGCCTCAGAGGTCATTAAGTCCACTCATTGTTTTTGCTGATGAAGAAACTGAAACTTGGAGAAGCTAAGAGACTTGCTCAAGAATAGATAAGTAGTAAATAGTAGAAACAGGTTTAAAATCCGGGTCCTCTGCCTTCAAGTCTTTCCATTTAACTCTTTCCATTGTACCACAATACTTTTTGCTCTCATTTTATAGATCAGTTGTGTGAAACTCCAGTAGAAATAGACCACTTGGCTCGCATAAGAACCTCTGACTGCCATATATTCAGTTACAAAAAATATAATAATAGCTATGTTCTACCATATTTTTATTTATTTTGTTAATTGTTTACCATTTACAGTATTTTTTTTTTTTGGTGAGGGAATTGGGATTAAGTGACTTGCCCAGGGTCACATAGCTAGTAAGTGTCAAGTATCTGAGGCAGGATTGGAACTCAGGTCTTCCTGACTCCAAGGCTAGAGCTCTGTCCACTGTACCACCTAGTTGCCCTACCATTTACATTTTAATCTGGTTTCCCTGGCACTGATGTTGGCTGCATTGGACACTATATTTGACACCTCAGTTATAGATAATAGACAATCTTCACTTTAGACGGGGAAGGGACCTTCAAGGTCATCTAACCAACCCCCTCTTTTTACAAATGAGACCACTAAGAGCCATAGAAGGTGAGTGACTTGCCCAAGGTTGCACAGGTAATCAGGGGCAGAACCAGGATTTAACATTGTTTTCCTCCGCTTTTCCACCAATGGTGTAGAAAGATTGTCGGAGGAGGGGAAAGAATCTCTGAACTTGAAACCATCTCTACTCTCAACAACTGAATACTGAAATATGTATGTCATAAATGTAGCATGATATGAAGAACATATGTACAAAGTAGGTCATTCAAGGTAGTTTGAGGAGAAGGTACACTAGCACTCAGGGAATTGGGAAAGGCTTCATACCTTGAGAAGACAGCAGGGCTTTAGAGTCAGAGAGGACTTGGGTTCAAATTCAGGCTTTGCCACTTAGTAGTTGTATAACCTTGGGCAAATCGCTGAGCCTCTCTGGGTCTCAGTTTACTTACCTAAACATAAAAATTGTGTGGGAGTTTTCTGACTCCAAATCCAGCCTGCTTCTCTACCAGACCACGGTACTTCTGAAGGCATGAGACCTTTTACAGTGAGGTTAACATTTATAACAGATAGCATTTGTACAGTCCTTTAAGATTTTCAAAACACTTCTCAAATATTATCTCATTAGATTCTCATAACAACCCTACAAAGTAGGTGCTATTATTATCCTTATTTCATAGATGAAGAAATTGAGGCAGGCAAAGATTAAGCAGCCTGCTCAGGGTCACACAGCTAGCAGGTGTTATGTGTCTGAGGCCGCGTTTGAACTCAGGTCTTCTTAACTCCAGGGCCTGTGCTCTATCCACTGTGCAACTTAGCTGCTCCCAACCCTTCTCAGATATTATCTCATTAGATTCTTATAACAATTGTATAAAGTAGGTGCTGTTATTATCCTTATTTTATGGAGGAAATGAAGGCAGGCAGAGATTAAGCAACTTGCCCAGGGTCACACAGCTAGGTCTGAGGCTAGATTTGAATTCAGGTCTTACTAGTTAGTGCCCTCATTCCCAAACTTCCTTGTATTTAAACTATTTTGTACATGTTTGTATTTCTTCATCCTATGCTTATGCTGCATATTTTAATGTACTTATTTGTTGCCTTTCCCATTAGAATGTAAGCTCATTTTGAGTTCCATTCTTTGAACTTGGATCACCAATGCCTAGCCCAGTGCCTGACACATAGTAGACACAATAACTAATTGTTGATTGATTGATTGAGTAAGGGAAACTTGGCTCAGAGAGTTTAGATCACTTGCCCAAGATCTCACATGTGTCAGAGGCAGTCTTCTCAATTCATACATAGTGTGTATGCATGGGTTTGTGGCTGAGGCAGAAAGTGGTCCATTTTGATGGATGTTTGGCAGAGTAATAAGAGAGAAGGCTGAAAAATAACCTAGGGCCTAAGAGACCACAGCTTGGCTGAGGGTGGGTGGTAGTGGAGAGGGTATGGTGTCTAGGGGCAGGGTGCTGGGAAGCCACCATCCTTCCTCTGCCAGTCCACCTCCTAGAAGAGGGTGGGGATGGAGGCTCCAGGGGCCTAGTTGGTCCTCCAGTTTGTAGTCTTTCAATATGACTGGGACAACTCAGTATTCTTAAGACTAGAGATGACGCAATTCTCAAAGGTCCCAGCTTCCTCCTTTTCCCAGGGGATTTGCACAGCTTTCATTATTATTATTTTTTTGTTAGAGATGTAACAAAGGCAGAAATGGCAAGATTTGGGAACCAATTAAATAAGGGGGATGAAAGAGAATGAATGATGCCTAATTGTCATCCTGGGTGACTGGAAGAATGATGGTGCCCTTGACAATAACAGAGATGTTAGGATTGTAGGAGAGTTTGGGGGAAAAGTTAATGAGTTAAATTTTGGACATGTTGTGTTTAAGATGCTTACCTGACATCCAGTTTGAGACATTACATAAGCAGTTGGAGATGTGAGACTGGAGGTGAGGAGAAAAGTTAGGGCTGGATAATTAAATGTGAGAATCATCAGCATACATGATGTTTGAATCAATGGGAGCTGATAGATTGCTAAGTGAGGTAGCAGAGAGAAGAGGGCCCAGGACAGAGTTTTGGGGGACACCCATGGTTAGCAGGCATGACCTTGAATGAAGATCCAGCAGGAGTCAGACAGGTAGGGCATGAACTAAAAGAGAGCAATGTCGTAGAATCCTAAAGAGAATAAGGGTGTTAGGGAAAAGAGGGTGATGGACAGTATCAAAGGCTGCAGAGAGGTCAAGAAAAATGAAGATTGAGAAAAGGATATTAGATTTGTTTGATTAGCAATTATTGGTAACTTTGGAGAGACCAGTTTCATTGAATGATGAGGTTGGGAGCCAGACTATGGGAAGTTAAGAAAAGAGTAAGAGGAGAAGAAATGGAAACATCTATTGAAAGCAGCCTTCTCAAGGGGTTTAGCCCTCAAACAGAGGAGAGGTATGAAACCACAGCTAGTCACAATGGGTGGGTCAAGTGAGGGTTTTTTGAAGATAAGGAGACAGGGATATGTTCCTGGGTGGTAGGGAAGTAGATGGGAGACGGAGAGATTGAAGATAAGTGAGAGAATGATAATGATAGAGGCGACAGTCTTTTAGAGAAGATGGAGTGGGATAGGATCAAGGGTACATGTAGAACAGTTTGCCTAGGCAAGGGGAAAGGCTATCTCTTCAGGTGAGATATAAGTGATGGAAGGCCTTGCCACCATTATATTGAATGGAGCCAAGTGGAATTTGGACACCACCTTCCACCCTTTTATTGGTAACCTTGCTTCTGCAAGAAGGCAAACTGGCCACAGTGCAGATGATCAAAATTATAGCCTTTGTCAGGACCATCAAAGTAACCAAAGCCTGAGGAAAAGACAGAGTCAATGTGGTTTTCACTGACTAGAGCAGTAGTGACAGCTTTGAGGTCTGGTAAGGCATTTGAGGCAAAGGTAACTTTGGAGTTGACACAGGAGCTTTGGAATTTCCTTAAGACTTACAAATTGTAAAAAAAAAAACCCCAAATCTTACAAATTATGTGGAACTATGCCCACAGGGCTATAAAACTGTGTCTATCTTTTGATCCAGCAATACCATTACTAGGTCTTTATCCCAGAGAGATTAAAAAAAGGGGGGAGGGGGGACCTATCTGTACAAAAATATTTATAGTAGTTCTTTTCTGGTGGCATAGAATTGGAAATTGAGGGGATGCCCATCAACTGGGGAATGGCTGAAGAAGTTGTGGTATATGATTATAATGGAATATTACTGTGCTATAAGAAATGATGAGCAGGCTGATTTCAGAAAAATCTGGAAAGACTTTTTGAATTGATGCAAGGGCATTAAGCAGAACCAGAACTTTGTATACTGTAATAGCAATATTATTTGATGAAGAACTGTGAATGACTTAGCTCTTCTCAACAACACAATGATCTAAGACAACTCCAAAGGATTCATATTGAAAAATGCTATATCTCCCTCTAGAGGAAGAATTGATGGAGTCTGAATGCAGATCAAAGCATACTATTTTTCACTTTCTGTATTTTTTTTCATGTTTTTTTTCAATTGGTTCTGTGTCTTCTTTCACAACATGACTTATATGAGAATATGTTTTGTGTGATTGAACATGTATAACCTTTATCACATTGCTTACTGTCTCGGGGAGGGAGGAGGTAAGAGAGAGAGAGAGAAAATGTAAAACTCAACATTTTTTTAAAAAAGATTGTGAAAAATTATCCATGGAATTGGGGGGAGGGAATATTATTTAAAAAAAGTCTTTCAAGTTGTGATCACAGTCTCTCCGACTTTCTCAGAGCAAGTCCCAGATGATTTTCTCTGCCATCAACATCCCCAGTTAACTTCTCTTTCTCAGGTTACAGGGCCTGGCTCAAAAGAAAGGAAAACAAAAATAAAACCATTAGGAAGATAGAGGAGGCTGAAGTCTGAATTGTCATGTTAGGACCCCATTAATCTGTCTGAGGCCTAGAGAGAGGGGGCATAAAACATAAACCCTAGACTCCTGGTGCTCCATGGACAATATTTGCTCATGCCTACTTCCCAACCT